CCTCGGGGTCTTGTACCGGGACGAGGGCCTTCTGCAAGAAGCCGCTTGGCCCCGCTCTTTCAACTGCGGTGGATATGAGGAGCCATTGTTTGCGTGTGTCGGGTGTGTTTTGTTCAGATACGCTTGGGCTTGCCAGGCTTCGTGGGAAGCTCACATCCAGAACTCCTGGATTTTGTGACTTTTACTGGGATCACTACTTTGTTTCTATATCTGGGGGTTGTCAAAGGCATAAAATGCCTGGTCGTTGTTTTGACTAGCCTACTGCTTATATAGGGTGACTTTGATGACGTTAAAATCATGGGGCCAGTTTACCAAGGACGCTGGTGGGGAGACGTTCACAGACGCGTGGGCCTCGAGTTGGGAGGGTTCCTGGAGGGCTGTTTGTCAGAGGTCAAACAACCAGGCCTTGGCCCCCGAACGGAAACTGGAAGGGGGTACGGTAAACACTGCGCTCCACTCCACTCCACTCCACGCTCCTCTTTTCCTCTCTTCCTCTCTTCCTTTCTTCCTCTCTTCCTCTTTTCCTCTCTTCCTCTCTTCCTCTCTTCCTCTCATTCACTCTGTTCGACTCACTCTGTTCCACTCACTTCCTCCTCTCTCTAAATTTCTGTGCCTGTCCCCGCCAAGAGTGGCCAAAGATGTCTTGACCATGCAGGAAGGCATACGTATTTGTGGTGGTAAGGGTGGTGTCGACGCAGGTCTGGGCCTAGGGGGATGAACGTTCAATTTCTTTGCTTCTCTGCAATTTCCCTGACATTTGTGCATATGCGTGGAACACAAATTTTAGGCCACTGTGCCTTGGACAGAATCTGAATGCATGTGGCCAACAACATGTTTGCATCTGAAATCTACCTATTTACGGTTTGCGTTTGATCATCTCGCGGTGTCCCAATCTGTTCGCGGCCTGGTCTGGGGTTGGTTTCAGAATTCTCCGTGAAATGTCGACTTGTCCACCTCGCGGCCAAGGATTTGACATGCTCTGGCCTGTGAGCCATAGGTGGATTTCGGCCGCTCAAAGAAGCGGCGCAAGTTGGCCCGATGGCCCGTTGGCCCTTTGGCCCTTTGGCCCGTTGGCCCTTGGCCTGTTACTCCGATGCGCGAAGTCTGCGCCGATTGACCAAGGCACATCTTAACACCATGGCTGGTTGCGTTTGGCGGCACAAGAAGTGCCCAGCCGAAACGTGCCCCCATCTGCAGGCGGCAAGCACCACATGGCTTTGGTGCAGCTGTGTGCTGAGCGATTGAACCAAGTACTGAGCCCAGCAGCTTGTAGCAGATTTCCTCCAAGCCTTGGACATTCAAGTACCAACATCGGGTTTTGCTACGATGTTGAGGCGCATGTTGGTAGGCGGCTAGCACTCTTCACGACGGGTTAGGTGCTCGATTTTTCTGTGGGTAGCGGTAGATGTGTGAATTGAAGGAGCATTTTACTTGACCCATGAACTTGTTCTTCACACGGAGTACCTTTGGATACTTCGTGCCAAGCAAGGCAACATGCAAGCAGCCCGTGGCACGCGTTTCCCCTGAGCGAACGCTTTCTGGCTTGTGTTTGCTTGTGCTGCACAGTTCAACTCGCATATCGCTTGAAGGCTAAGGCTGAAGTATAATGATAGTATAATGGCGCTGAACCAGTTCTATAGATGCCCCCAAGAGCTAAGAACAGAAGCTGCTTTCAAATGACAATACGCTGACTGGGATCCACTGGAAGTTGTGTTTCGTGTCCTTGCGTGATGCCGTGCGAAGCATTGCCACCTTGCATGTGTCCGGGCCTTATACACCAGCTTGTCGGCGACCTGCAAGAATCAAGCACACACCGTTTGCCCGCAGCAAGGACTGCGCCAAATGCGGCAGTGGAAGTGCAGGCAACGCGTTGTTCTGCGTCGGGATGTGCCAAAGTGGGCGCCAGGTATGGCCGATGTCAATGTCCCAGAGGCCAGGTCCAGGTCTAGGAGTGCGGCCCGCACGCCAGTGGCTTCTCGAGATTCGGGCCTTTTGGCCACAGAACGAATTGGAACAGCCTTGCTGCCGTGCCCTATCTATTTTTGGGGGGAGATTGAACTCAAACAGTCGGAACCTGCCAAATTTGACATGGACACTTGCAGACCGGGAACGACCTGCCTAGCTATGAGGACTCGCGACGACAGTCTCGATGGTCCTTTTTGATTCGGGCATCCAAACGTGAACTGTTGCAAGTGCAAAATGTTGCCGCAGGAAGTGGTTGAGGCAACTGCACAGCCGGTGGGAGACTTAGTTTGTGCGCGCTGGATCGACGAACGCCCAATGTTGGGGAGGTGTGGGCTGGTCATCGCACGTTTCAAAGTTCCGTGACCCTGAGGAGCAAACCCTGGAGGCTGGGGTGGCTTCAAGAGGTTGAACGGCTGCGGGAATCAGTTGGGTTTCGGAATATATCAGGGTATGCCAGGGCCTGGTGAGACTTGAAATGGGAAAGCGGAGTTTCCAGCGTGGCAGGGCGCTTCGCCAGAGGAGGCAGGGATATTCTGAGGATGTGTGTGTGGGCCACCAGTATGCAAGCCAGAACTCGAAATCTTTCAAAAGCCTGGATAAGATAGACAAGTTTCCTTGTTGCGGCAATTGCTTTCACTGAGAGAGACAAGCAAATCAGACTAGTCAGAGGTTTGAACACTTTTTCTTCTGTCGTCAGGATCTGGACTGGGACGAGGCGCGAGTTCCAAGCGACAACCTTAGCCCCCGAAGCGCGAAGCCCGCAGCCCGAAGGCCGAGGAGGCGGAGGAGGAGGCCGCGGAGGCCGACAGCCTGGTGGAGCCACAGGCGGGCGGACAGAGCGAGCGACTTGGACGACTTGGACGACTTGGACGACTGTACGACTTGACGTCCACGAAAAGTGGAATCTTGGGAGGCTCTCCAGGAAAGCGAGCTGCATTGGCAGGCGCGGGACAGAGGACGCGACGCGCATTTCTTTCGGCAAGCCGTTTTATAAGGTCAGCCTTGATTGGATTGGTGGTTTGGTTCCCCCGGACCTCCAAACCGCCAAAGCAAGCTGCCGATTACAGAGGCCAGACGAGAATTGCCCATGCAATTCCACGTGTTGATTGATGCGTGAGGTGAAGTGACGGAAGCATTGCGATGTGTCAGGTCAAGCAGCAGGAGTTCTTGCGGCGTGAAGCGGCGTGGCTTCTGAGACAAGAGCCAGCTTGATCAGGTCCAGTTTTGAGTACCGCAAAAACAACTTTCTTTTTTTTTACAGAGCTCGCTGTTGTAAGGGTTGAACCTGATGATTGCTCTGCTCCCTTTTTGTTTTGAGCATTTGTCCCGACATGATACCTGGCAGCGGGAGTGCAGAGGGGGTCTGAATTGGCCCTGACAATGCGTTGCTGAGGCCAGACAAACAAGAGCGAAGAAGGCGAACTGTGCCACAGACTGGAAGCTCTCTTCAACCGTGATTAGCTTTCGTGTCTAACCTCAATGGCTGAGTTTGCATCGCCTCCGATGCAGATGATGTTGTTTTGCAGAATGGAGCTTTGAAGAGCGTCTAGATCAGGTTGTGGGTGTGTCTCTCTCTCAAGTTAGTTTCCTTGTGACATCAGGAGGTTCCCAATTTCGAGAGAGAGAGAGAGAGTCTGAGAGAGCGAGAGCCACAGCGCGTGGGCGTTTGGATTTGGGCACGCCTGCCAGAACTTCTGGGCAGCATTCCAGTCCTCCTCTGACGAGGCAGTTGGGTCAGCACTTTGTCTTCAATCCATTCTCACTTGTGCAGCTTGTCGTGCACTTCGTGCTACTTGTAGGAGGATGAGTCGTATGCGCCAGATCGAGAAGAGGAGTCATCGCCATTTTTGCTGCATGTGCGGAGGGCAGAGAGACTAGATTACCAGTCTGGCACTTGTTTTGGTTGTCTTCGCCAGGAGGAGGACGACAATGACGGCGCCCCTTGGCTTAGCCTTGGCTTAGCGACTGCTGCGCTGTTGGTCATCTTGGACTCGCAGCTCGTTCGGTTGCTGCGGCAGATGTGCTTTCGCCCTTTCCTTTGGGACTTTTCCTTTCCTTCGCCACTGACGGGAGTGCCACCCTTCACATCTTCAAGAGGCAATTGTTTGTCAAGAAGGATCCTTCTGATCCTTCTGGGCTTTGCAAGCTTTGCAAGCGGCCTTTGCAAGCCCCTTTTCTCAGGTTCGGGAGTTCCTCTATGGCTGCGGCCTCGGAAGGACGCGAGAAGTGGCAAGCGGAGTGACACTTCCAAGGGCCGCGGGGGCAGAACGAGGCTCCGGTGAGTGGAATGTGCCTTGGGGTCAACGGACGGGGCAGCAAGTTCCGGACACGCTCACTTGTATGAAAGGCGGCTTCAAAACGTGGAATCGGCCTTGAATATTTGGGTTTTGAGTAAAGCTAAATCCGGCCTGTCATTCGACAATGTTTTTGTAAGATTTTTGCGCTTTGTGCCAGGTGTGGCCGCTGCTCTACAGCCTTTTGCGCTACCCACCCGAGGTGACGGGCCGGGCATTCGATTCTTGGAGTGAGGAGTTGGTGCAATTTGTTATCAATCTACGAGTGCAGTCTGTGTGTGGTGTATAAACGTGACACGCCATGCACTCCACAGAAGGGGAAGGTTGGAGTGCACAAGGGAAGGAGCGGTTCAGGGTGTGGCTGAATGGTCAGTGGAAACCAGCAGTTGCAAGCAATCGGGCTCAATGTTAAGTGTAACGTTCTCCGAAGATATTTTGTTTGTTTGGTTGGGGACGCTGCCAAGCAAACTGTTTGTGGCTGATGTGACAGTTGCGGTGTCACCACGGGAGGCAGCACAGCTGATCCTGGAGCAGATTCGCGAGCAGCTTTGCTCGAGGCGCTTGCCGAAAATTCGGTGGACACGAATTCGTTGACCGTTTCTCGATTTTCTTCGATTTTCTTTGATTTTCTTGTTTGTTCTTTGTTTCTTGATCATTTGGACGACTTTGATGCGCTGCAGCTTTGAGAGCCCGGCTTGACGCTCACATGCGGGGAAAGGGGCATGGGGAGAAAGCAGAGATGGGAGCACAACGCACAGCGGGCCGGTTGGGTGCCATGTGAGCCGCATGGGCCCCATCGCGAAGCAGATGACGCAGAGCCTGCAGACCACCTTCAAAGGTGGCAACCGCGGCTTGGCAGAGGCTCTCGGACTTTGCGGACTTTGCCATTCGGCGCATTCGGCGAAGTGATCAATACTCTCGCGCGTTCTCAGGACTTCAAGGCATTTACTTCCAGGTGGACGTTCTGGACGAGCCTTGGCCACCGCCTGAAGACTTAGCACGGAACCTGCGCCCAGCCAAGGACATCAACCTCGTGAGCCTCACCGGCCGCCTGGACTCGTTTTTCATTTTCTTCCCTTTAAGGCAGGAACTGCCTTGCAACCTGTTGCAAACATTTCAGGCAGCTTTGCAGACGCCGGCCACGTCTACGTGCATGTCCGCTCTGGTGTGATCGGGGAGCAAGTTGGAGGCCCGAATCGAACGACATATGAATGCACAGTCTGGAGAATTTGTTGCAAGCTTTGTGGGTTGCGAAATTGCTGGCACCTCACGTTCTTCACTTCTGGCTTGGCTTCTTGCCTTTGCCAGGCAACTGGACCCTTGTGCTGCTTGGCTGTGTCAATTGTCAAGTGTCTGTCAATTGCAGTGATAATGACAATGACAGATACGGAAAGAGTTTGAGTTTCTGGAGCGAAGGCAAAGCACACAGGTGGATTGCGGTGGCCAGAAGAACGTGCCCATCGGCCAGGCCGGGAGCGTTGGGAGGGAGATACATAGATGGGTTGGATGGGTTGGCGCCCTTGGCTCGCCATAGACGCCATAGTGGAGGTGTGATAGGTGTGGTCAGCTTTGGGAGTTTAGGATGTTTTGGGGCCGCTTGACTGCAGGGTTCGGGCTGATTTAGGGTTGATTCCGGCTGGGTTTTCGGATTGGTTGGACTTGGTGTAGGGGAACATTGGGTCCGGTTTACGGTTGGGTTTCACGGTGTTTTGCAGGGTGGCCTATACCCACCCCGGACCAATTGACCAGCCCCAAACTAGTCTTAAATTGCAACCCTATCCCCACCGTCAACTTGCCTTGAAACTGTCTCAGCTTTCACGATCGATTCAGGAATATGTTCAGGGCTTTGCTGTTCGGTTGGCTTGGCAAGGTGCTTACTCGCGGAAGCTATACGCTGCACGTAGCCTGCTCTTCCTCCATCATATACTCTGCTGCTTTGGCTGGATCTGGTTCTGAGAGCAGAACCATGTCAATTTGTCAGAATGTTCACGGTTCAGCTTGACGATTTGGGCACTGCGTTCAAATGCTGACAGTGGTTGCACCAAGCTTTGCCCGGATGATCCAAACACGTATTCTCTGAGGATGCATTGTCCATCCATGATGTGCTGGCACAGGAGCCCGCTCTCGGTTTGTGCAGAGGTTGAGGCTCATCCCAAGTCGTCACAACAAGGCTTCAGGGAGAGGATGCAGGTTTTGCAGAAGCCTGCAGGATGACAATTTGGTTATATACAATGGCTGGGGCACTGCGGACTGCGATCGCATACCTTTAGACACCCAGCTGAATTTGACTTTCGCCGGACTGTTGGATTCCTTCTGGGTGAAGAAGGACAGTCTGCTTGGCGCGGCGATCAGCTTTTCAGGGGTGCTGTGCTTGGTCTTTGTGTCACGATCACCAGGCTTGGGAGCCCAAACCAAACACCGCCTCAGCGTTTGTTTTCGGATCAACTCACTTTCGGTGTTTTTGATGGACCAACCATGCACTCGGCGAGTTCGCAGTTGCTCTGAGGATCGGGACTACTCCGGATGCCCCTGCCGCAGCTGGAACGGCATCGTGGAGTACCGCTGTGAGGCCACGGGAAGCCTCTTGCGTTCAATTTGTGTACCTTCGATGAGCTTGAAGGGACGAATCCACTACGTATCGGGAGAATGCAAATCCAAGATCCAAGCACATCCTGGAAGGCCTGGTGCTTTGTTGCTTGCAGGTGGAGTCTGTCTACAGAGACCAGCATTTGCGGCGCCTTGTGGCTGCCATGCATCATGACACCGACTTTGCCGACACCTGGCAGAAAGTGACAGATTAATTAGCTATACATGAGCGCGCACATGAAGTCCTCGTGAGGAAGCCAGCTCATTTTTGACACTTGCAGTAGGATGTTTATGCGGGTGCAAGGATGTCGAGATCAAGTGCGGCAATCGAAGCGTTTGGGCTGCTTTATTGTCTTGTAGCACATCTGATTTCGCCCGTTTTGCGCGTTTCGGGCGCCTTGGTTTAGGCTTTCATGCACACCGCGTGGTGCTGGCCTCTGCTTCGCCCGTCTTCGCAAAGATGCTGCAGAGCGAGCCTTGGCTGAGAACACTGTTTGGGAAGTGCCGAACTCGCCGAACCTCCGGCTTTTGGGACGGCCTCGGCCTCGTTTCGGGTAGGACATGAAGGAGGCGCACAGCCGACAGATTCTCATCGAGGACGCGAGCGCCGGGAGCGCCGGGAGTGGGAGCGCCCGCGGCTTGGTCTGCAGAGTCT